AAAGAATATAAAAATTATAGTTGTGTATTTAAGTTATTTTTCCTATTATGTATGTATAACCTAGCAATACTTTTTAAAAAAATTGCCCACATCTTTTGGGCCTTAAACGACTACTTAGCCCATTTACTATTTAGTTCAGCCCAACTGGAGGACAATACAGCTTCACAGGATGGGTTATGGTACACTTGAGCTAAGAATCTATAAACACAGAAGAATTAGCCTGTGAATTGTAAGGCTCCATAGCAAACAAAAATATAGCTATGGAGCGCAAATAACAAAACTAGAATGATAGAGCCCTTAGTCATTCCTAAAATTTTACCTTTTAACAACTCTTTCTACTCAAAGCCCACAACATGTAGAATTATCATTGAAGTAGGACAAAATATGTTTATAATTTTATCATTTAAGGCTGTGTCACACTCTGACTTGGGGTAGTATGAAGTTAATCACATGTTTTTGTTTTCATCATGAGTGCTGTCTGCAAATGGAAATTCAAAACCTTTCAATGTTTCAATCAAGCCTAGTTGTTGGCTATCTGCATCAAAAATTGCCTTTACTTTTGGCACATTGTCTAGTCTTTGTAATTGTGGGGGCATTTCCATCCGTTATATATACATATATCTTTTTTAATTTTCTATTATAAATATAGAATTTACGAACACAAATTCCTACCTAGCTCCACCTCTAATATCCACCTCAATCTTCCTTAGGTTTGTTCCACTATAATGATTTAGAATTAAGAAACCATTTGTAACTCCGTAGAAACAAATAGTATATAACATTGGAATTCCGATGAATGACTCTCCTCACTTAACATGTTGATTTTGGCCAAACTTCTTCTCAAATTTTATACCTTCAAAATTAAAAAAAAAATCAATTAGACAAGTCAAAAATGATATAAAGAAGTCACAAAAATAAAATAAAAAATACACCAAAGTTGATAAAGAAATCATATTGCCTTTAGTTTTACATATATCATATATATATGATAATGCTAGTTTTGGTAAAAGTAGAAAGGACTGACACGTACACAAGCGTTGGGCAAAGACGAGCGAGAGTTTATTTACTGCCAAAACTGTTTTCCTCTTCTACAACAAGCAAAAATATCTCTGACCTTACCTTACCTCAGTTAGTACTCAGCAGTTGCTATTGACTCAAACACATATAATTTCAATAACAATATCCTACTATTGAAAATATTAACTTCGTCATTAATATGAAATTTTAATAAAAATATTGAAAAAACACCTTTAAATTTGATAAATTTTTTGATGATACTTATATTGCAAGATGAGATATGTATTTTCATTCAGTTAGTCGAATGGATAAATTTTTTTAAAGATATTAAAATATTAATAGACAATGTCGGAGTTGATATGTCTAGGGCCCCAGCACCATCACATCATTTTACTAGTATCTATTAAAGTCATTTATTTTGCCCAAATATACTACAAAATGTAGCTGTTACTTTTTCCTAATTATTTTTTTGTTATATTTAAATTAAAAAATTGAGAGTTTACAGCAACTACTGTTTATTATCGATTGAAGTTAGAATTTAAATTTAATGGTGAATAGAATACTTGAAAATCTCTTTAAATTTGATATGTATTAATTAAATTTCTCTTAAACTAAACTTGGTCCAAATCCTTTTAATGATATTCATCTACTCATACAATAATTTTTCTTAATTATCCAAGTGATTATAAATGACATTTGACGTGTGAAATAATAGCGACATTATACTAATTTGATGTGTAAATACTTTTTCTTGAAATTCTTTTATATTTATATCCTTGCGGCCATATTCTTGATAAGTTAGAAATACATTATTATTTTTCTATGATAAGAATTATTTTTGTACGATTTGATAGAAATGTATTGATATTAAATTTCTCATCAAAAGCCAACCAAGTGAACATATATATCATGTCGATCACTTTCCTCTTTGTTCTCATCCTTTCTTCCAAAGTCGAAGACCTGCAAAATCGTTGGAGGAAGTTTCCTTGTAAATTTACATCTTTATTCTGTTCTAAATTGTACCTAATAATAAGGTTATACTTTAATAAAGTAGCTTTTACCGAAAATAAATATATACGTATTGATAAAAAATATTAAAATGTTTATTGACATTACTGAATTGATGTTATTGGATTTAATGTCACGGTATGTTTCAAAAAAAAACATTATTGCGTAATATATTTAACAGTGATTAAACTATAACTGTCAAAACTTCATTTAGTCAATTCAAACAAAAGTTACAAGTTCAGTTGTTTCAATTTGTTTATCTACTTTTTTAATTAGTTTTTCTTTTCTTTTTAATATCTTAAGTTTCATGTATTGTTAAATTAAGATAAATAAATCTAAATTTTTTAAAAAAATTAATTTGCTAGAAATAAAAGGTGGCCTCAATTGTCGTGGAGTGAGTGAGTCAGATTGAAAAATTTGGAAAAGAGTCACGAGAATTTTAACTTATAAACACGCAAACGCAATTATATGCATGCAACTTTTATTTTTGTGAATTTTTACTGTATTTTGAACAGACCCACGCACCACCTTCACTTTAATTAACTGGATATAGATTGAGATCTCGTTTAGATTGTTTTAAGAATCAGTCAAAGTGTTCGACAAATATGAAAAATAATTTTAAAATAAATTAAAATAATAAAAAATTCATAATCGGACTGCATCTATTTTCTCTTTTTTTTGCAACTATTATTATCTTCATTTTCAATTTTGTTGGCAATGTCTGTTATTTTTTTTTAATTTTGAAATTATTTTGGTAGTTGATGCTCACAACTCATAAACAAGGACAAATCTAGGGTTTCAACCAAACCTGAACTAGCGGGTTTGGTTTGCTGCTTTTTTTTTTTGAAGGCAAAAAATAAAGTTTCAATTTTAAATAAAAGAGAAAAAATTACGATCCATACGAAATTGTCGTAGGAGGCTGAGAGAGGGCAGCCTATGAAAATAATAATAATAATATCAGCTTGGATATTTGCATGCATGACATTATTCCTTATATTTCTGTGTGATAGTACCTATGGACTTAGAAGATATATTATATCATGAATAGTGGAATGTAATTTTGTCAGCTACTATTATTAAAGTGCTATGCTAAGATTTACTCATGATTTTTCAATTAATTAAACAATTTCGAATTATGATTTATGATATGAGTAAAATCTAATTTTCTCTTCTGTTACCATGTCGTAGTCACACTAGTTGAAAGTTAAAATTACAAGTCGTACTTGTTTAATAGGGTATAGCTAAATAAAAAAGATTTAGGGAATCAATTATTGGATTCTGTTGACGCACAGTGTTATGAGATATTTCCTTTTTAACTGTTTGAACCACTAAAATTGTCGAATTAATGTACATCACCATATGCTTTACAAAACATATAACCCTACCAAAAAATAAACATGAGAAATTACAAAACACAGTGCGACGGCCTAACAAATTGTGCTTTAAACACATTGTTCACAAACGTATAATATTTAAATCTTGATTTGGAATTTGGAATAGTCATTTTAGTCACAAAACAAATAATTAAAAGGGTGATAGTTAGACGGATTGAGTTAAATTTGTACGGATCATGATGAGTTGAGACAAGAAACGAATTGAGTTTAATTTTGTCATCCCTAATTACATAGATACTTATTATCTCAAACAACATTACCACCCAAAATCTAGTTGGTGAGAATCCATTGACGAAACAAAAAATTAAAATACGAATATATTTATGTATACTCCCTATCCCATTTTATATGGTGTGATCCATTCAATTTCATTAATTATAGTTGGTCCCATAATCAATGTACCTTATTACAATTACAAATAATTTTGTAAAAGGAAGAGGTTTCATATCCCCATGTAGTTAAAAGGAAGAGGAGAGCCCAGACTTGCATTTATTGGTCAAGTGGAAAGAAAGTGACTTTGTAGAGTTACAAAGGGAGAACATGTGTTGTGTATCTCTTTACCCTGCTACAAGTAAAGTGATTTTTGTAGTTATTAGTAAAAATTTTCATATGATAATTCAAATTCAAAACATCTGTTGTAAATATTTTGCATCTAAGAAGTGAAAGATATGATTAGGTAGGTAGCTTAGATAGTCATAATAACAATAGCCTTTCATTTCATCACTCACACTCCCACCTACATCTCTCTCTCTCTCTATCAAAATAAATTCTTTCAATAAAATAGAGTAATGTGTTCTTCTTGATCTCTTTTCCCTAATGGCTGCAGAAGAAGGATTTGAAGCATATCATGTCCCACAACAAAGCAGAAGAGATAAGCTTAGAGGTGATACTAATTATTTTTACAACAACAGCAATTCATCATTTCTCCTTAATCCTTGTGATAATAATTTAACCATGGATCCACAAATTATATCTTCCTCTTTTCAAAAAATTAATAATAACCCTTTCCTCTACAACACTAATCATAATCATGATATGAATGTAACTTATCATGACTCGAATAATATAACTCCAGGTCAAGGTTTATTTTTATCTTTATCATCTAATAATCATCATCATACTACTGTTCCGCTGGAGCTGAGATCATTATTTACAACAACAACAACAACAGTTGATTGTTGTAATAATAATGAGTTTTTGTCATCCAAGAGTGGTGGTAGTACTATTATTGGACCTTTTACTTCAATTCTCAAGGGATCAAGATTCTTAAAACCTGCACAACAGTTGATGCAAGATATTTCTGGGATTTATGCTCACAAATTATTACAAGATCATCATCATTCTCTTGGAACTATGGATGAAGTATCGAATCATGAGCACATGAGGAACAATTCCAAGTTAATTTCAATGCTTGATGAGGTATTTCTTTTTTAGTTTTTAAAATTATTTGTGTGGTTTTAAACCTATATATATATATATATATATATATATATATATATATATATATATAT